CGTCCTATCACATCGCCCTGACCCTCCTGCGATTGCGCCTCTTACCTCCAAGCGGCAGCCATACGCCCCTCTACCCCGCCATCTCCTCTCTCCCATCGACACTCTCTAAGCAACTCGCGCTTCTCAGCAATTGATATTATCAAGATGGCCGCAAACCCTTCTCCCCGCGAGCGCAAGCCCTCGACCAGCGCTCCCCTTGGTGACCTCAAGGGTCCCGTTGGGCCCTCATTCACCCGTCCCAAGCACAAGAGGACGGTAACTGGCTTTGGCCCCAGTGAGATCAAGAACGTAGAAGCGAGCATTCCAGAGCCTCAGCGCGAGGCATGGAGAAAGTTTGTATGTCAATTGGATCCTCAACTATAGTACAAAGATAAATCTCAATACTAACACAAGCATAGATGCCCAAGCCCTTCTCGACGCCAGACGACTTTACGAAAGACGCTGTTCGCCATATCGAGACTACCCTTGCACGCTCCCTCTTCAACTGCGACGAGTCTGCTGCCTACGCTGGAACTGCCCTCGCCTTCAGGGATCGCTTGGTCTTGGACTGGAACAAGACGCAGCAGAGTCAGACCTTTGCTGACCAGAAGCGTGTATACTGTGAGACTAGTGGGAAATTTGCTGGTAGAACAACCTCTAATAAATTCAGATCTCTCCCTCGAGTTCTTGATGGGCCGCGCTCTGGACAATGCCATGCTCAACGTTGAGCAGAAGGATATCGCTTCCAGTAAGTCCACCTCTTAGGACCTCGCGATTGCTTCTCTAACACACATGCAGAGGGTCTCAGCGATCTCGGCTTCCGCATGGAGGACATTGTATCTCAGGAGCATGATGCTGCCTTAGGAAACGGTGGTCTCGGACGTCTTGCGGCCTGCTTCCTCGACTCGATGGCTTCTCTCAACTACCCAGCCTGGGGCTACGGCTTACGGTACCGATATGGTATCTTTAAGCAGGAGATCGTCGATGGATACCAGGTCGAGGTTCCAGACTACTGGCTGGACTTCAACCCATGGGAGTTCCAGCGCCACGACATTGTCGTTGATATCCAGTTCTACGGCAACGTCAACCGCTGGCAGGACGACGAGGGCAAGCAACAGTGCTCGTGGGAGGGCGGCGAGATTGTCCAGGCTGTTGCTTTTGACGTTCCCGGTAAGCAGTCCTTCCATCACTTCTCACCTTTTCACTGACAAGTAAAGTTCCTGGCTACAAGACTGGCACTTGCAACAACCTCCGCCTTTGGGGCAGCAAGGCAGCCAGCGGCGAGTTTGACTTCCAGAAGTTCAACTCTGGCGAATACGAGAGCTCTGTAGCTGACCAGCAGCGCGCTGAGACCATCTCCGCTGTGCTCTACCCCAACGACAAGTGAGTAGTTCCATGGTTATGAGATATCATGTCTGACTAGCAACAGCCTTGACCGCGGTAAAGAGCTTCGCCTGAAGCAACAGTACTTCTGGTGCGCAGCTTCGCTCTACGACATCGTGCGACGTTTCAAGAAGAGCCAGCGCGCCTGGAAGGAATTCCCCAACCAAGTCGCGATTCAGCTCAACGACACTCACCCGACCTTGGCCATTCCTGAGCTACAGAGGATATTGGTCGATATCGAGGGCTTGGAGTGGGACGAGGCATGGAGCAGTAAGCAGAATCTACCCCCATAGCCAGACCTGGATGCTAACAGCATACAGTCGTTCAGAAGACGTTTGGATACACTAACCATACCGTGCTTCCCGAGGCGCTCGAGAAGTGGTCTGTACCGCTCATGCAGCACCTCCTCCCGCGCCACCTCCAGGTAAGTTCAATCGCCTGATTTCTTGAGACCTTGCTGACTTTCGAAGATCATCTACGAAATCAACCTTCACTTCCTCCAGTTCGTCGAGCGCAACTTCCCGAAAGACCGCGAGATGCTGGGCCGTGTCTCCATCATCGAAGAATCGAACCCAAAGATGGTCCGCATGGCATACCTTGCTTTGATTGGCTCACACAAGGTCAACGGTGTAGCCGAGCTACATTCCGACTTGATCAAGACCACCATCTTCAAGGACTTCGTCAAGATCTACGGACAGGACAAGTTCACTAATGTCACCAACGGTATCACCCCGAGGAGATGGCTCCACCAGGCCAACCCCAAGCTCTCTGCGCTTATTGCGTCAAAGTTGGGCGGTCACGAGTTCCTGAAGGACCTTACCTTGTTGAACAAGCTAGAGGCATTTGTTGACGACAAGGAGTTCCGCAAAGAGTTCCGCGACATCAAGTACGCCAACAAGGTGCGACTCGCACAATATATCCTGGAGAACAACGGCGTCAAGGTCAACCCGGCAGCGCTGTTCGATGTCCAAGTCAAGCGCATTCACGAGTACAAGCGTCAGCAGCTCAACATCTTCGGTGTGATCCACCGTTACCTCCAAATCAAGGCCATGTCTCCCGAGGACCGCAAGAAGTTAGCTCCTCGCGTGTCCATCTTCGGTGGTAAGGCTGCACCAGGCTACTGGATGGCCAAGACAGTCATCCACCTCGTCAACAAGGTGGGTGATGTTGTCAACAACGACAAAGACGTCGGCGACGCTCTCAAGGTTGTCTACTTGGCCGATTACAATGTCAGTAAGGCAGAGATCATCTGCCCTGCTAGCGACATTAGCGAGCACATTTCTACTGCTGGTACTGAGGCGTCGGGTACCAGTAACATGAAGTTCTGCCTGAACGGCGGTCTCATCATCGGAACCTGCGACGGAGCCAACATCGAGATTACTCGCGAGATTGGCGAACAGAACATCTTCCTCTTCGGTAACCTTGCCGAAGATGTCGAGGACCTCCGTCACAACCACATGTACTCTCAGTACCAGCTGGACCCCCAGCTCGCCAACGTTTTCGATGCGATTCACAATGGCATGTTTGGCGATGCGGACCAGTTCTCTGCTCTGATCAACGGCATCGTAGATCATGGTGACTACTACCTCGTCTCTGACGATTTCGCATCGTACATCAAGACACAGGAGCTCATCGATGAGAGCTACAAGAACACTGAGGAGTGGACAACCAAGACCATCACGACGGTCGCGCGCATGGGTTTCTTCTCAAGTGACAGATGTATTGACGAGTATGCGGAGGCTATCTGGAACGTCGAGCCGCTGCAGGTCAAGAGCGAGCCTGCGCCGTAGACAGTAACTGCGGGGATGGTACATATCGGTGGCTTTCTGGTAGATCTTAGATGGTTGCGATGCTAGAATCTTAGATCAGATGCCTTACATTTACGATGATAATGAGAAACTCGTTGCGACAAAATAACTTAGTGGTCCTGTAAAGATGCATGTACTCTCTGACATCGTCGTGGTGTCGAGCGAGACTGGACCCTGAAACGCCTGCTCCGAATGAACCTTGCGCACGGTCGCGTCGCGCGACGTACGTCAACCGCAATCTGGCCAGCTCGAAGCCAGCTCGCGACATATCGACAGCCCTCACTCACAAGCAATCATGGCCAACCGAGGCTACGATGTCGTCGTAGACGTTGACCAAGAGGTACGTACCCCAGCATCCAGCTCAAGACGGCAAGCTTACCAAACCCCAGGGCGACCTAGGCCATACCGACCTGCAAGAAGACCTCGAATTCCACAGCTCCAGTAAGCTTCCCCTCTCCATCATATACATTCAAGCATCTACTAACCCTCCCATCCAGACTTCGACACCCAACCCACCGGCCGCGGCGCCCCCAAAATCCAACCCGACTCCACGAGCGGCTCCTTCCTCCCCGGCCCCTCCACCTCTTCCACATCGCCCACCTCGCGCAAACACTACCTCTGGTCCCTAAACTTCTACGCCCAAGCCTTCGACGTCGACACCGCCGAAGTCCTCCGCCGCTGCACATCCACCCTGTACCCGCGCGCCAATTTCCTCGACGTGCTCGAGGGGAACCCGGACTTATACGGCCCTGTCTGGATCGCCACAACAGTAATCGTGATATTGTTCTTGACCGGAACGATTAATCAATACTTGGCGCAGAAGGGCGAGGAGCACTTTGCGTATGACTTCAAGTTGCTGAGTGGAGCCGCGGGGCTGGTGTATGGGTATACGGCGTTTGTGCCTGTGGGGCTTTGGGGGGTATTGAAGTGGTATGGGAGTGAGAGTGCGAATTTGATGGAGTGTGCTTGTTTGTATGGGTATGCGAATTTGGTTTGGATTGCGGTTAGTCTGGTGGCTTGGAGTCCTTGGGGTAGTGAGTTTTCTCCTTCTTTCTTTCCCCGTTCCTCTCTCTCTCTTTCTTGTCTTTGGATGTCATTAGAAGACGACGTACTAACAAACATCCCAGTCCTCAACTTCACAGTCGTAGCCCTCGGACTCGCGGCCTCGGCGTTTTTCCTCCTCCGCAACCTCTACCCTGTGCTCAGCACTACCGAAGCGAAGACGAGCAAGATTCTTCTTATTGTGGTTTTCGTGCTGCATGCTGGGTTTGCGATTGCGATCAAGGTGCTGTTCTTTGCGGCGACGAGTCCCGTGGGACCGAATAAGGGTGATAAGGATGCGGGCAAGGGGGTTGCGGATGGGGGATCAGAGGATAAGGGCGGTATGCTGAGGATGTTGATGGGTTAAGATGCGTTGGGTAGGGGGTGAGCAGGTGGAGAGTGGGTTAGGGCTTGGGATGATAGCGTATGGTAGGAGAATTATAGTAGTGCCTGAAGGCTACATCGCTTTAACAATGAGCAGACATTTTTTGATAACGTAACGGGGAGATCTACGGTGCTTTTCATGTGCGTAATCGCTAGATTCAAAGAAGAGCGTTGAGGTATACGATACCCCACAGGTTTTCCTACCTCCTCTGCAAAAGACGTTGAGGACATTCTAGCTCACTCACATAACGCACAACAAGTCAGATTATCGGGAACGAATTCATTATAGCTACGTCCCATCCACCATGTATTACTTCGCCCAGAATCTTACTTTGGAGTATACAACCACCTATCCTGAAACAAACAAATCTCCTTCAAAACAACCATGTATGCTTCAAAACAAGATTAAGCAGCCTCCTCCTCATCAGTCAGCTGACCTGTCTGCAGAGCCCAGGCGAGTTCGTGGACGTTGGACAGCGCGTAACTGGCGTCGTGCTTGATACAGTACTTGACGCAGCGGGTGAAGATGCCGCCGTCAACGCCCTGCTCGGGGTGCTTCTTGAGTCCGTTGCCGAGATAGCGGATGTCGTAGTCGAGAACGCCCTCCAATTCGTCGTGGGGATAGCGGATCAAGTCAGTGGCGATGAGGTCGTTGGCGTTCTCGATGCCCTCGCGGAACTGGTCTGCCCAGTTCTTGCCGTACTTCTCTTTGCCCTTGTTGATAGCGGTAATGCACTTGACGGAACAGGTGTTGCGGAGGTAACCGCCCTCGAGGTTGCGGTGGGCATTCAGCGTCTCTACCATCTGCGCGGGGCCCCATTTGCGGGAGTAGAGGCGGAGCGCGACGGTAGGACGGCCGAGAGACTGGAAGAAGTACACGATGAGCTCGGTGTCGGTCAGAGGGACCTGGGGTACGACGACGAAGGCTGGCGCCATGTTGCCTCGTGCAACGTGGGCCTTGCGCTTGGCGATTGACGTGTTACCGCTGTTGCCACGCTTGCTAGGGGTTGGGGGGCCGACGCGACCGGGGGTAAGAGGTGAGCTCGGGAGACCGCCGGACGTTGGTGTAGAAGGGAACATAGACATCATGCCGCCGGTAAGGTAGCCGGACTGTTTGCTGTTAGTACACGATGGTGGAGACATGGACGTGTAAGACTTACATCTGGCTGGCCAGAGGGGAGCGGGGCGATGGTAGGGATCTTGAGGCCGGGGATCTTGACTTGGAGATCTTTGCGGGCGTGAGTCTTCGCAGCCTTCTTCTTCTGGTTGCTGCCGACAATCTTGGTTTCGAAGGTCTCCTGGTCCTGCAGACCGGTGTTGAGGAATTCGAAGGTCTTTGACGGTTCCGGAGCGCGCTTCACCGGGGTGCTGGGAGCCGACAAAGCTGCGATACCAAGCTGAACGACAGTCTCTCGCAACTCCGAGACCTCCGACTCGGCCTTGTTCATGCGAGCGGTAAGAGCGTTGACCACTTCGCAGATCTTGACGTTGGAGTCGACGTGACCCTGGAGCTCCTCCAATTCTAAGATGATCAGTCAGCCTGGCGGATACATGAGGTGATTTGAACAGGTGAGACTCACTTCTGGGCGGATTGTAGTCGTAGAAAGGGTTCGCCATGCTGACATCGAACTCCTGTTGCGCCATTGTCGGCTCCAAAGAGGGTTGGTTCATGTGCTCGAATGACGGGAACATAGACTCGCTGTAAAGTGAAGAGTTAGCATTGTTTTCTTCCACATGCCGTTGCCATGGCAGACCTCCAAACAATGGAGGTGTGATGGGAACATCAAGGCCAACGGTGACGATGGTGTGAACATACCTAGGGAGCTCGCGACCGACACTGTATCTCTTTGGTGAGCTGCCTTGATAGGCATCGTTGACGCTAGATGCTCTGCTCATGAAGTCCTGGGGTGCGTAGGCGAAGTTGGGCATCGGAACCTGCGGCTCGACTTCGTCCTCGAAGTAGGCTGCTAGATTGGATGACATGTTAGCGTTGGTAAATGTTGCTGCAGGCAACATTGAGGTCCGGCTAGACGTCTGGCTGATCGGCATGAAAGTCTGGGGGCTTTCGTTGTGTTCAGCCATGGTGCTGAGTAGCGTGGTCTGGGATGAGATAGTCGAAAATTGTAGCCGAGTTTGTTGTTCTCAGGCGCTCGGACACTCACCATATGCCATAACAACAAGAGACTGCACCGAGGACCGTCGCCTGGTGAACTTCAAACTTGCTGCATTTCCTGATCCAGTCAGTTCACTGACTTGACTTCACCAATCCACCGCGGAGACGGCATACTCACCATGAGGCTTGAGGAGATGTGGAGGGCGCGCGCCCACTGCTACAGGCACCCGAGAAGACAACACCAGACAGCATCGAGGACCGTGATCTGGTGAACGTGAAACTTGCTGCAATCCTGATTCAGTCAGTTCACTGACGTGACTTCATCACTTCACCGTGAAGACGACATACTCACCATAAAGCGCGAGGAGATATGGGCGGTGCGCGTCCGCTCTTGCAGCCACCAGAGGAGTTCATTCTCATTGTGCTGATGAATGTGAACCGCCCATGCATGGATGTAGTGAAGGGCATGATAGTCTTGATGCAGCAAGGTGCGTAATGAGCGATGAGATGTAATGAAGATGAAGGGAGAGAAGAGATGAAGCTGCAAAGCTGAGAATATATAGAGACAAAAAGGCAGCAGCCACGTCATGCCTTCATGATAGATGCCCACGAGGCTTCAGCTGAAAAACGTGGCAACCAATCTCAAATGGCTGGAAGCGTCCGCAGTCGCTCTATTGAGCGGTGAGACGGATAAGGAATCCCGATGGAGGTGAGAGAAATTACGAGAGAGGAGGGAAGACATCTTAGACAGCACTACCTATCCGCACAATAACCTGCACGGCAGGATGGTGGACACCACCGACTAGAAAGCGCGTTGCCACCCATTTACTGCGAGACATCTCTTTTTGTGATCTGCCAGCATATATGCTTGTCTTCACCTATGGTACAATAATTGCGAAATCCGACGAGCCTCGTGTGGCGGGCATTGGACTGCCCACCTGGGCAGGTGCGCTCCGGCCTATAATCAACGTGCGCGTTGTACGAGACCAGCCAGCATGCAGTCGCAAACGTTCCGGGTTCGATTGCGAGGGTATGGAGATACCACGAGCGCGCGTAAAGTAGCTGGTAATGGTCGCCGTCGGGTGGGAGTGTTGATGTGAGGAGGTTTGACGTTCGAAGTTCGCGTCACGACATTCGGGGCACTAGTCCAAATCTGGCTGGTGGTCCCTTCCCAAAACATCTCCGACCTTGAGATCCAGGAAACGTTAGAGTGCCGCGGAATACAATAAAGACGATATCAGCATTGCATAGTCTGCTACTCGGTGTAACCTCCGTCCAATCGGCCCCTGGCAGCGCAGAAGGCGCTAGCTCCCCAGAGCGTACTGCACCTTGGATGTGGTTTGATTGCGAGTTGCAGTCTGGTATTACCCATCTCGGAAAAGGGTTAAGCGTTGATAGTACTTATCACTCATACGCTCATGCTACCTATAGATATTGTTTGTTCACCTGTTCCAACAACATCTGGACATGTCGTTAGCACCATGCGATTGACCATATCTTGGTATACGCGAGGACGACATGATAACTACGTACAACGTTCTCACTGCGCTTCCAGACCGTGTTGAACTCTTCATAGGAAATTTTCCCCCAAGTCAAGGCTGGGTGGGGCTGGGTGGTGGAATAGTTGCCTAGTGAAGGACGAACATGTGGGTAACGCTCGAGCCGTACAGTTACTTAGACCGGAGGTCAGACTTCTCTTGACTGCTTTACTTGCTACACGTACGGGTAAACCGAAAATCAAGTATGCGGGCCCTGGCGATCGTCTGTCTCACGGCGTGTGTAGCTGTCGTGAAGGGTCTGACTGTAGATACTTCGCCTCCCCCAGGACCCGATATTCCTTCCCGCTACTCCCGCAACCTCGTCGCTCGCGTCGACGATATCGAAGTCATATACCACAAAGCCACATGCAAAGGCCAAAAGCTGCTGTCGGCAACAACCTCTCCGCATGACGCAGCAGCCGCCTTTGTCAACCCGATCGATAGCCCCTGGACCAACCCCATCCAACAGGAGCTTGAAACCTGGGGCTACAAAATCGAGAGTGACGATGGCACCCCCCAATTCCGCGCAAGCCATGATGATGAGTGCGAGTTCGAGCATAGTCACAAGCTCAAGAGCATGTTCGATGACCTCCGAATCGATACGCGTAGTACCTACCAGGGTGGACCTAATCGGTGTTACTTTATTAACCACAAGGATGGTCCGGCAGTACGGCGCGATAACCAGGGAGATCTACCACCCGTCAAGCAGCAGTGGTATAAAGCCAACGACAACTACTATCGTGTAGGTAAAAGATGATGACGGTCCATCCATGTCTTACTGACGACATCTTCTCTCTGTAGGTCACTGGCGCCGAGTTCACAATCGGCGTAAACGCAGCATCAGGCCTCATTGCAATGACCAATCGTCAGAGCCCCGCGACCAGCGCCCAAGCCCTCTGGGGCCTCCAAAATCCTCCGGCCAACGATGAGCTTCCCGCACTGAAATCGAGCTCGGATATCATGTGGGGACTGTGGAACTTGGCGAGTCCAAACAATGTGGGCGGTATCAAGTACATTCTTAGTACGCCCATCATAAACGACGAGACGGTCGCGATAATCAAGAAGATCTTACAAGACAATTGCCTCGACTTGGATGAGATAATGACCTGGTCGGGCTGCGAGTTTGGGTCAGATGATCCGGAATATCTCGCTTTGCTCGGTAAGTTGTATCTCGGTTCGACGTTCTGGGATTGGATTATTGACTTCGACTGCGAATCTAGGATCACCGAATGGACAAGCCGTTGGGTACTTCCTGGCGCAGCACAAAGCCCAACTCGGCGGAAAATATGTGTCAAAGATCAATATCTTCAAGGGAGATGATCCACACATGGTTGCCGTCTGCCTCCTTTTCACGATCGATGACAGGGCTGGAGCTGCGAGGGCCGCTATCGGGGATGAGTCGAACGGCGAGGGTCGCGTTGACGAAGCGGTAGTCGTGAAGCGATCCGACTATGAGAAGAATGTTGTGAGACGGCATGTCGTGTGGGCGAAGTTGTAGATGGCTAGAGACGCGTCAAGATTGCGTGTTTTGATGTACAGCTAAGGCTTAGATCGTAAGATCTGTCCTCAAGGGCTCATATAGACCTAATCAGAGGTGTAGACTCGTTGGTTAAACGGATTTCCATAGTTAATAGAGGGGTTTACAAATATTGTTACGAATGGGTGACTTCCCTGACGGATGTCAGTGATGGTGTTGGTGGACAGGGAGCGTGGAAGCGGATCGCAACCTCGGCAAACGCGCTGCTTATCGATAAGCCACCATTGCGAAGCTTCAGGGTCGCCATCGTCATCTCTCTTCCAACCAACAATTCTCACAATGTCTGCAAACGTCCTCATCGTTGGTGCCGGCGCCATTGGAGCCTTCTATGCCTCTCGTCTTGCCCTTGTTCCCGGTACCTCCGTCTCGGTCATCTGCCGCTCCAACTACAAAGCCGTCAAAGCGAATGGCTTCCAAGTTACCTCACCGCAATACGGCGATTACACCTTCGTACCGGCCAACACCTTCGCGAACCCAGACGAAGCAAGAGCGAGCGGCATACAGTGGGACTTCATAGTAGTCAGTACGAAAGCGCTACCCGACGTGAGCGATGACTCGACGATACTTGAGGGGCTAGTCAGCGATAAGACGGCCATTGTGCTGATACAGAATGGATTGGGTGTGGAAGAACCGTATACGAAGCGATTCCCACAGACTGCGATATGTTCGGCGGTCACGATAGCGACCTGCGCGCAACCCGAGCACGGCCAGATTAAGCACAACAGATGGACGCGGATAAACAGCGGACCGTACCTACCCCATCTAGATACTGGAGGCAGGAAAGATAGCGACGTACGCGTCATCTTGATGAATGACGCGTTTATCGAGATGCTAAGGCAAGGAGGCATCAAAGACGCCGAAGCTTACAGCCATGCCAAACTCCAGCTCGTCCGCTGGCACAAGATCGCCATCAACGCCTCCATGAACCCAACCTCGGTCCTCACCCTCTGCCTCCCGAACAACGTCATGTCTCTCGACCCAGAACTACAGCGCCATCTCAAGGGCGTCATGACCGAGATCCTCGAAACCGCTCCTAAGATCCTCGGCGAGCCCATGCCCAAGGAGTTTGCGACTCCCGATCAGATCATTCGGTCTACACAAAAGAATACAAGCGGTAGTAAGCCGAGCATGGCTATCGACTGGGAAGCGGGCAAGAAGATGGAGACTGAGGTCATTCTTGGCAATCCATTGAGGATTGCGCGGGACAGGGGCTATGAGATGCCGCGCCTGCAGAGTTTGTATGCGATGGTCAGGATGGCGCAAGAGGTCAGGGATCAGAAGAAGGACAATAAGTTGTGAGATGCCGGGTTGCTTCTGTCGATTGATCGATCTCTCAATTGCTTCCTTTGTGTGTGTTTTACCTCTTGGTAAAGCGAGCTCCATTTCAAACTGCAAACTTTAAAGTCAACAGAGTCGCGTAGGCAGCGTCGTCGCCGATCATGCTATCTGACCGTACTGCTATATACTTCCCGATCCCTTCATGACACTAGTACGTGTGCAAGAAAGATGACAGACCACGGAAGCACTCCAGAGACCTTGCTCGCGATCCAGGTACCTAGCTCTTCGCCCTTGCTTTTAGGAACATCCAGCCACTCCAAGATTTCAGATTTGGCAAACATAATAGCTGCCAGTGTCCCAAAGAGGGTCGTGTCGTCATAAGGGGTGGTTGGGAAGTGAAGGTGAACGCAACGCCTTCTCAATCTGCCAACATCACCAGAAGTAGGACACCATTTTCCAGTGGATCGTCTTGACTATCCTCTCTTATTGAGCAATATTATTGCATTTGAAGAAGCCGATAGTGGTGCGGGAGGAGGGCGGCTCAACCTTGGAACGTTGCGACCCTATTGAGCGACGCGGACCGTGGCTATCACAATAGCAAAATACATAAGGTGAAGGCGCCTCTCACCAACCTCTTTTTTTGCGAGGCGAAGACAATAGCTTTGGTCAGCTGTCTGCCGCCCCCGTCTCTCCTTCGCATTCTCCACGGCTTTTCTTTCTCAACCACCGATTACAACTTCCCCACCTACATATCATCGATCATTACTACCGCAGACAAGATGAGCAGGCTCTCTGATCAGCAGTTGCGACTACAGTGGCTCAGCAAGTTGAACCCTGAACAGCTACAACAGTGGTTCAACAAGGCGCCACCAGACCAACAGCAATGGTTCCGCCAGATACAGCGTGCTAGACAGCAACAAGGACAGCAGCAGCAAGTACCGCGCGGGAACAGTCAACACCGAGAGAATGAGGCCCGGAGCCCTTCTATCAACAGCCTGAACGGAGCAAGGTCGTCTACCTCAAGCCCACTCGCTGCACCCTCAACGATGGCCACCTCGGTGACTACCGCTTCGCCTCTGAGCACGACAGCAGTGCGAGCATCGACAAATGCATCCTCACCTATTCGAAACGAAAATACAGCGACGCTGAGCGCCGCCTCACGTATTCCTATTGTGCCACGCTCGATGCAGTCACCGAACGCTAGCGAAATTCGACACCATCAGCAAAACAACGCTTTTCTCGGTTCTAAGCAGACTCAGCCGCGAATGCTACCCACGGACGATGTCGCTCGCTACCAGAAATCACCACCCAGACAGAGCCCTTCGCATGTACAAATGAAGCTGCCACCCTCACCGACACGGCCAGGCTCATCGCCATCCGCGCATACTGCAGCATACCCCACCAGCATGAGCCAGAAACGTCAGGCCACAGAAGCCCCGGAAGGCGACATACATGCAGGCAAGAGGCAAATGACGACGCAAAATGCGATGTCACCTCCCGCTGCCCCGTTCGCTCCCACCAGCCACAACGATCCTCTCAACCCAGGGCCATACAATCGTATGAGACCGGTTGCATCACCCAATGGGATTGCGGCATCTGTCAACCGGATGACCCCCGACGACATCGCACGAGACCGTCGCCTCCAGCAGGCCAAGCTCGCAGAGCAGCGCGTTCGGGCGCAACAGGCTCACGACGCCGAGAAAGCCCGCGAGCGAGAGATCTATATTGCCGCCACCGCCGCAGCTCTCAAGCGCGAGCAAGACGACGCGCGAAGGGAGTTTCTGCGCAAAGATCCCAGCGCAAACTACCGTCACATCCTCGAGGTCTACGCATTGTCACCGCTAGATCCCAAGAAAGATGAGTACCCCAACCGCTACTTGACGGGTCTGCTCGCGAACCGCGTCATGCCCATGGACCTCGATTGCGACCTCGCGCTCGCGATCGTATACGCGAAGGACCATTGGGACTACTTCGGTCAGTGGCCCAAGGATATCGAGCGCTTTGCGGGCTATGAGAGGGAGAGGAAGGAGAAAGCGGCCAAGGACCGGGCTTAGGAGACCGAGAGGGCGCCGCGTGAGTGCTCTGGACCTGATCGTGCGAGCTCAGAGGCCTTGGAGGCCTTGGAAAAACGCTTGCGTCCGATGCTTTTGAAGTTTTTGAAGTATACGGTGTAGCGTGAAGTGATGGAAGTAGCTTGGAGAGGGACATGTAGTCGTCAGGGTACACTCAACTTCAGGATCACTCAGTTTACGATTATCAGGCCTAGATTATCATAGTGAATACTGCAAACAATTGGGACTAGTTTCCGCCAAATCACGGGGTCTGACGTTATTCCCTCCCGACCGTATACCCCGGGGTCACTTCTATTCCAAGCTATCACACACCCCCACCCCCACCGTCTGCACTTCTGATATAGAACGTGCTGTCCAAATACCAGCATACTCTCGCCAATACCGTCTTCACCGACAACATTTCAACGACAGACGCGATGGCCGACCATCTCACCCAGGTAGCCGCCTTGGTTACACCTACACTTCAGCGTCACAACAAGAGACGCCGCTCGACATCAATTGCGCCAGAGCAAGCTGTTTTCCTTCCTGGCGCCGGCCCATCGAACGATGAGAACAATCCGACAACCACTCCACACGGACAGCGCCACCCTGACGACACCACTATACATAAGCGCACGAGGAAAGCCCATGGGTCCAAGCGCCGGCGTATTGCTGGCGACTTCAACCCCGTCCACGGCCCTGGTTCCCCTCGTTCATCCGACCTGAAAGAGGCGCGATCACAGATTGCGCCGACTGCAAACCCATCAAGCATTGATCCCGTCTCAGGCGGAGATCAACCCCCCAAAGACATCACCGCCGTCCCTGTCGATCATACACCATCTCAACCCAACCCCATTATCAACATTCCGAAGCAGACTCCCCAGATACCAGGTGGAGACCGCAAGAAGAAGTTTAAAGTCTGGGAAGACGATCCGCAGCCGTCTAAGCCCAAAGACCCAACACCAGCCGCCGCAAAGTTGCTGCAAGAGACCGCCAATACCGGAGCTCAACGCAGGTGTCGCCGCATAGAGGGGTATACGCCGCGGTTCCGCGCGCAAGAGGCTGATTACTATTATCATCCCAATCTTCAGGACTTCCAATTTCCACAGGGCGTCGTCGCATCCACCAAGGAGGCTGTCGAAGAAGCGGCTCAGAGTGAACATAACGCACCCACTACCAGAGCGACACAGAATACCAAAGATGCTCAGCCAGAGGTTGCACAGTCATTGAAGCGGAAAGCCGATGACGATCTTCGGGAGCGTGGTGCAGAGAAGCTGAGGAAGCTTAACGGTCAACAGCCTTTGCCTTGGATAGTCCATGGCAAGATCCGACATGATCCAGTCCAAGACTTTGAGACTGATTACTTCACCATATCCACACCGTCGCTACCCTCAGAGCCTGTGGAAGATGTGGTCAACACGGCAGAACCGGATCAATCCCGGAAAGAGATTGATGCAGCGCTTGAGACGATTGAAGCGCAACAGTTGCCAACACCCATCTCCGAGCCCGTATCCAACGAGGTGCTGTCACCTCCTATATACTACAACCTGAACCCATCCAGCATAGTCCATGCACCGGGGAGCGATGAGCCAGCCCTGGACAAACTAGAGTCAGGATCTCTGGACCTGGATGCTATCTTGATGGGAATGACACAAGATTATAGATTGCCCACCGTCGAGGAAGATGTTTTTAAAGGATTCGGTACCTACAAACCACCGAAACCACAAGGTGATGAACTCACGGCCGGCAAAAAGGCTGCATTCGCTGGCTTTGGTACCTACCAACCACCGCCACAAGTCGTTGCTCCTATATCTCCAGCGGTCAAGAAAGACGCATTTAAAGGGTTCGGTACCTACAAATCACCGCCACCGGAAGACAAGGATTTCCCCGTCGTCAACAAAGATGCATTCGAGGGATTTGGTGTTTGCCAACCACCACCAAAAATCGTTGCGGCTGCATCTCAGCCCGCTCCAAAGATTGTGGCCACAGTTCCCTCTCTGATAGACAGGAACAGTCACGCTATCATCAAAACGGGTGTAGCCTACAGCGAAGGCTATGACCCAGGAAACCCGCAGAACTTCAAACACTACCTCGCTCAGTTCACCGATCGACCTGCGGTTCCGCGACCACGAGAGCGCGAGTATCGTCCAATGCCAGAGATATTGGAAGTCGAGACTCTGAACCAGCGATTAGACTGGGTAGTCCCGAATGGTGCAGAAGCGCCCGAACTCTTCCGGGAGATGCCAGCACCACCACCTCACATCGACTCAGAGTTAGCTCGTTGTGTTCGCTTCGCCCAGTCCGACGCGCAAAGACACGTCAACTGGCGAGCGCATCCCACCCACGTCGCCGAAATCATCCAGCGCACCAATTTCTACGGAATGGAGTTGCTGGTCAGTCGGAGCGAAATGCGCATCTCGTCACCTCCGACGGCAGACGAGTTCGAGCTAGCCATGGCTACTCGGCTGGCGAATATATCTTTCGGCATGGACACGAAGGACTACATTGCGGCCGATGTGCCGGCTATCATAGAGTACTTCTCGGAGAATCTTCCATCGGCGATAAGCGTCTTCCCAACAGAAGAGGAAGACTGCTTCCGCGCCTTCACGGACTATTATCGCGTGATGTTCGAAGAGAACTATCCACCGCTGAATGCTCTCGGCTTGCCAGAATGGCAGGTCTTATTAGATGCGGAGGAGGGCAAGCCCTCTCTCAAAGCACAAACCTTACAAGGCATCGTCCAGTCCATCAAAGGACTGGCTTCACACTGCCCTGACGATGCAGACGGGACAAAGATCCTAAGAGATGAGGCATCTCACGAGAAGCCTGACACGGGAAACGAGCACCTCGGGAACGCTCGCCGGGAACTTGGCCAATCTCTTGGTGTGGGTAGGAACAGCTTCGACGGAGACCTACAGTGGCCCGATCAGCTGATCAACGCCTCTTTCCCTAGCGTGGCTCAGAGCGAGCAACCGCAGCATTACGATGCAAACTCAGCTTCTTACTGGAACAACGCGGAAGTCACAGGAGGATACGTCCATCCTTTTGTACCCGAAGCAGATGCAAGGATTGAAGATGTGCACGGCGATTACCACGACCCAGAGGGCTGGTCTCGCACTGATTCGAATGTGCTGATACCATGGGACTCTGGGATGGAACCCATACCATCAGGCTTCAGCGCTCCATTCGACTATGGTCCTACAGGGGAATACTTCAATCCGTCAGCATTCGGCGCGTTCAACGACGCGGAGCCGGAAACATTGCTGTAAGGATAGCAGGCCCGAATAGGTCTAATCGAGGACTTGGAGATCTATTAGCGGTCTTTGTGCCGTATTTCATGGTGTGGTAGTGGTTGTGACTCTTGTTCGATGAGGGCTTCTCGTCTTCAAACACGGATACTGTGAGTGGCTCGCGGTCGCTAGCGCCGAAGGAGGATTGAAGCAGGTACCAAGGGTAGATATATTCGGGTTATATCCTTCAAGCATACTATTGGATGTCTTTGTTAGCTAGAAGAATACATCTTCCTAGAATGTTACCACTTGTTAAGCTTTAGTGATGTGTGTGCAGCAGCTTGTGACGTAAATTATAGCTACCTGGACTGCAAGTGCCAGCGCAGGCATAATCGGAACAGGGGCGATGAAAGCGCCTGCAGGAGAATTGCTGGCTGAGGAAAGCTCGAAGGCCGCTTCCATCAGATCCTGTGCATTACGACGGACGGCATTGGCCCTTCTTGTTGGTGTAGTGTCGGCCATGGTGCCACAACACGCGTACCATGGATGGAGATCAGCCTCAGCGACTTCCACAGACTCATCGAACGAAGACAAACCAAAGTTCCAGCTCAAGCTAATACTAACACAACGGAAGATTATAAATTTCCATGTAGATTGTCGGACAGTACGCCATTCTCCTTCCTTACCACCTACCTTCCTTCCAAGCGCGCATTGAAGCCACCTTACCATGACTCCACCACGTACAGCGACAGCACCACATATCGAACCCGGTACCAAATCGGCCCCGGCAAAGAACCCACGTGGTCGACCACGCAAAGATGGGTTGCCGGCAGGATCAGTACCCAAAAAGCCCAAAACGCCAAAACGAGCGCGTGCAGATACTCCGACGGAAATCCAAGGACAGCCTGAGAAACGAGGCCCCGGTCGTCCACCCAAGAATAACAAATCGCAGGGCGCCAAAATTCCATCAGCAACGCCATCATCGTATAATCCCTCTCCACCAATGAACCCCATTCCAAGCCGTGGACCACAGGAGGGAAGTCTCATCGTCTCTGCGACTGAAGAGACTTCCAATATACGGATCACGGCTACTCTTCCGAGTGACGTGACTGCACGACACAGTGAGGAAACGGACATAAGTGAACAAAGGATTCAAGATACTCTGAGGTTCCGGAAAGAGGCCGAAGAAAACCAGAGGCTTGGTTTGGAGGTCAGTGAATGGAAAAGGCAGAGGGAAGATGACGCATTGGAGTTCGAATTCGGCCTATTTGGATGCAATCATGACCTTGAAGCGGAGCTAGATCGCAAGCGCGTAGCATTAGTGGACGAAGAGAGCGAAGAGGACGAAGAAGCCGAACAAGAAATCGGAACAGAAGAGTCGAAAAGAAAAGCGGAACGTCGACGTCAGAGGAGAGAATGTCGAGATTATGGCTGCTACGAAGAGGATTGCAGAATCGGCCATGCAGTCAGAGCGAATGTCGCGCGTTACATGGTGAATCTTGACGAGCGCACGGAGGCGTTGCGGACCGTGGTGGTAAAGACGGATGATGAAGTGATGGAAGAAGGGGCAAAGCCCATGATCTTCGAATACCCTTGGTTGATTGCACGGTGATAGCAGGAACGTCGGAGAAGCTGTGTTCCCTTCTGGTATCGTCAATCTAATAGGTTTGAGGGCCTGAAGAGGTATGCAGATAATATCAGCTTGACTCTTTCGCGCGTGCTGATATGAGAATTCATCTAGCAACACTCTATACAGCACGAGTACACTGATTCTATCCCGTAGTCAGCATCGTACGTTGACACAGAATTAGACGTTGGCGCGACGTTGACAGTGGTTGTCTGACCTCTTGGTTTATGGGCTTCGCTGTGCTGTAAACGCAGAGTGTCAACGTCGCAAAGGAAGTGAGTAACCATGCTTGGAGAGGCGCTGCGATCATAACTCACCGTGAACACATCCAGGCTACCTAGGTACATCTGCTTGCAGCGACCTGTCGCGTCGACCGTTGATGAGGACGACTTCGACCTCGGCACAGGCAGGGGCAAGCGGCAGAATTCGCTACCGCGCACACTAAGCCATATGCGGAGAGGTCACGATCAGGATCTAGACGTTCGCAGATTCCAAGATCTTTGTTATGGCTCGTTTTAAACCCTATTATCAAAAGTTCTACTTAGAACCTGTAAGCTCCTTATGCATCGACATGCATGTCAGGGAATATAAGAGATGTCTCACGTGACGCCAAGCTACCGCGGCTGCCCCACATCGGCGAATTGTCCCGTCCCATCTCCGACGGCAAGCTTCAACGCGTCAACGCGTCTCTTTCGCACACGAAGCTCAACCACGATGCATTCCGACAGACCTCGTTCGCGTATCCAAGACCACTCATGTGTTTCTTGAAGCTATGATCCACGCGTTTTGACAGTGCCACCGTGTCCTTTACAGGGTGTCTAGCACCAATACTCCTGGCATTATTCCCATCGTACCTACTACAGTCGGTTCCCTCGAAGTCTCAGAAGGTCTTCAGATGCACTAAGAAGATTACGACCATTACAAGCTTTTACCATGGCCTCTGCTCAGACCATGGCAGCGTTCAAAGAAGAAAGAAGAGTTAAACGAGCATGGACGTATAGTGTATCGGGTTCCACCGATTGCCGCGCAAATATCTTACAACTAATGCTAATACTATGAAAAAGATGTTGTCGTGCGACATCGCTTGACCAGTTTACGGTGCTTGTCACAATGCGTGTGGAAAACGCAAGCACAAGGAGAGAAAGCGGACTGCGCATGAGTACATCGAGTGCGCGCGAGCTCTCTCCACCTCCTACGTACGCCATATCGTCTTCGAGCTCCTGCAACTACAAGGGCCCAGCGGCAAGACCTCGCGCCTCGTGTTCGAGGACTTTGGATGCGCTGATATACCTTCCGTCCTATCTAGTCCTCGGCCGTGTACCGAGTCGCTCTGGCCAACCTAGTGCGTCCGCGACCAGCCTCCGCCAGGCATGGACGTACCAGCGATGCTCAACATCGAGGATCGGAGGCCGAAGAGAAGTTCGGGCACTCGACTTTTCCTTATCACCTGCCAATCGATACCGATGTCGCCATCGCTCTCGGAGCAAAGGACCAGTCTCTTTGACGTCACTTGTTGGAGTTATCGGCAATAGTGACCCCCAATATCGCCCTGAACGAATGTTTCCAGAGTAACGCAGGCAACATCGAGTCACCTGCCTTCCGAAGTTGGCTCAATGAGCCGTTCTCGCCCTTGATGTGGTCACTCCTGGATTGGCGAACGCGGGGATTGTTTCAAAATCACCTCCAAGATCCTGGATCGTGGGGTTCAGATTGGTCCAGCTTCGTCAATGCGGCCTTTCGTGCTCACGTCTTGCAGAAAATCATGTCTGAAGCGCTAGCACATTGTTCAAGCGATAATCGGATTGCATCTTGCTCTAGCTTTGAGCCAAAGCGCCTCTCCATGCATCTGCGAAAGCCGTAAACAAAGGTTTCTTCGTCCGCGGCTGCCTAAGCATTGCAACAATATATCGTTCACAAGGCTCGCATCTATCAACACTTTCTATATACCTGACTTCGTCGAACTACCGTCTTACTCTATATCAACCGAGTTGCAGACTCTCGGCCAGTAAGTTCCATACTCAGCAGTGCAAGCAATTCAAGCACCGCTCAAACCTTCATCCGATTGCTACAACGTTTCCTCTACCAAACACTAATACTTGTATCAAAGGCATCATGGCGAGCAATCCGAAGACTCCTTCAGCCAACTCATCTCCGGTCAAAGGGGCTAGGGTTGAGAAACCAGCCGCCATGAGCAAAGCACGTTCGAAGAACAAGGACGGCTCAATCCACGCCTCCCCAACTGACATCTTCGGTCCAAACGCTGTTACACGGTATCTCCGCATCCCGCAAACCGGCAACATTACCGGTGCGGAACTGATGACGTTTCTTCCCGCGCTGATTCGTAGCCCCGGCGTCCTTGTTCGATTCGTCCAGAACGGTGGCGACGCCTACCCCCTCATTAGGATCCACAAATGGTTTCGAGTCGTGGTGAAGAACAATTCTCGGCAAGACGCTACCAATGCCGTGATTCACTTGGCCCAGGGGACGATGCGACACTATCTTCAGGACGATCAATGGACTATGACTCGCCACAAGGCCGGTCTTTACCCAACAGTCGGCCAGGCTTGGGACCACGATAACTTGACTCTTGCCGGCGTCCAAAACCACTGCGAGATCCAAGTCCCGGGTAGCCGTCACCATAAACCGGTCGTCGCTAATGTTCATTTCGCGTCACTGGCAGCTGACGTTAGGGTATACCCATCCGGCGACGACGAGCTCGATCTGACCCGCTGTGTCAAGGCTGCTGTCGCCAATATCGACCTACCGTTGATGTTTCCACGAGACTTTAACTGGCTCACTCAGCTCTTGGGTGGTCCCCGGACGGTACTCCCTGCTCATCGAGATGGCGAGCTGTTTGGTCGTTGGAGGAATGTGGTGTGGGAGAACATGCCCGAGCCGGAGGCGATCCAGGCTGCGACAAACCTCACGCATCATACGTTCACAGCAGCACAGCGGACGGCTACCGTGCAGCATCTTCAGCAGTTCCCCGTTGTCCAGGCGTTGACGTTTGTCCAACCGGCTACTTCTGTCCAGCCCCCCGTCCTCACGCCTCGCGGCCCTGTGAGGATGACAGACCACGCTGGCCCTTCTCGCACACAAGCTCCTGCTGCAGCCAGCGGTCTTTCATCTATCAACTCGTTGATCCTTAGTCGGATCATGAACAACACTGCCGCCGACTTGTCACATGTCCTGGCCACGATACAAGAGGATCAATTGTACGCGTTGTATGTCAGCGTCTTGGCCGCTAACGGCATCGTGCCTATTAAACGCCGCGCGGAGCATACACCTGGCCCGGACACCCCAGACGACTCCCTTGTAGATGATCGCAGTCTTCCCGACCTGATCGAACCAGCTGCACACGACCCCAGGGCTGTATCTCCATCTGGCCATTGGGACGACGACATGGGCGCTAATGACAACGAGTCTCAGCCCACAAATCCATTCGAAGAACAGCTTGATGACGACACTAGCTCATTTGCGTCTCTCGATCTTAGTATGATCGACCCTGAGATCCTGGCGAGCATCGATCCTGAGATCCTGGACAGCATCAACCGTGAGCTAGGTGGCTTCGTCGATCAGGAAGACGATACGGAGCTCGCACAAGTCGACCCGGAAGACCACAACCTCGGTTCGCAGGACGATGACAAAAATGATGGAACTGGCCAGGAGACTTCCATCCCTTCCATCGTAGTCCACGACGTCGACGGCAGCACTGGCGAAGACCCCGCTGATGCCCCTTCCTCTCGCAAAGCTTAGCGCGGTCAGAGAAGACAACAACACAGTTCTCTCGAAAGTTTGGTGTGTATTTGGTAAACATACATTGGCATTGGAGCGTCTCTCAGGCGCGATGTTGGAAAGGAATAGCAAGCATGGCGTAGCTTTTTCGGCAGAACTTCTTAGAGGAGTTGGGCGTCTTGTACATTCTTTGCACTATACCCTTTTCATTCAGTCGCTGGTCTTGAGTGCCTCCACATCTCATTCAATAGAATATATTACCGTTCACAAGTGCGCCTTCTCGCGTGAGTGTTATCTGCGCTGATTTATGACATGGGTATCACCAACAATCGGATAGTAGAACGTACCATACTGGTGGACTGCGAGAGTGAATTATTACGGTCCTATGCATCTATTTCCTTGCCCATAGTCGTGTTATCACATAAGATAGCCATGATGTTGGAAATACCCAGAAGGAAATCCAGGAGTCAAGACGACCAAGGCGCAACTCAAAAGAATTCTTAGAGCCAAGCCCAACGCCCAACCAGCTCACATACCATCCCTAATAACCTCCTCACTGACCCAACCAATCTCATACCTATGCGCAGTGACACACTCAAGATGCCAGTCATACTCCGTCCAAACACTACCAAACAAGTCAAACTGCTGCTTAGCCCAGCGTATATTCTCAGCCCAGTCACTAGTATCCTTCGGGTGAGGCTGGCTCAACAGGTGAAGCTCGCGGAATGGGGCGTGGCGACGAGGACCGTTGAAGCGGGCGTAATCGTAGGCGGACGCGTACATCTCGGGGAACGAAGTGTGTGGAGGGGACGCGTAAAGGTAAATGCTGTAGTCGTCGATGCGGAGGCGATCCTCTGAGAGCAAGGGAGCGGGGAAGAAAACGGGCTCGCGCTTGAGGTACTCGCGGGCGGCGTCCATGACATCTTGGGTGAACTCGGTCATCATGTACGAGGGTACCTTTGCCTGCTGTCGAACTTTCTGGGGTGACGGTCCGATTCTTGTTCATGGTCAGCGCGAGTTATAACATCAGAAGCGTAGAATGAACTTACCCAGGGACTTTGAGCTTCAAAGTGCGACGCTCAGGTACAAAAGCAGCCTTGATGCTCAAGCGAGCCTTGCGCGCTGCTTGACGGCCGCGTGCAGCGGGGATGGGCGAAACGGCCTCCTCAGGTTCACTTGCGTCTTCTTCCGGGATATCGTCGTCAGGCTCGGATTCGTCCTCTACGAACTCGTCATCGTCGGCGGACGAGTTGGGGGTCGGCGGTAGACGAGACAGCTTGCGCTTCTTGGAGGGAGTCGCGTAGGGCGAATCGGAATAGTCTTTGTCCTGAAGCCAGTGTCAGCAATGTCACCATCTAAGACGTCGAAGGATCGACCATCGTCGAACACGGGTGATAGACTTACCTCAGCGTCAACTTCAGGCTCTTCAGCAAAGTTTATTTGCTTGCCGACAAGCCTGCCACTCCTCCTCTTACTACCATCCAGCACCTTCCCAAGGCCCTCAGCTGTACGCTTCTGTGGTGTCGCGGACCGTGACATGGCGACCAGCTCGATGTCGTCGAAGAGTTTCTTCTTGCTACCGCGCGATGCTTTAAGCTTGCTGTTGAGCTTGGATGATTTGGGAGTCTTGGGCGTTCTCGGAGCGCGGCCTTTACCGGGTGTAGACTTGGCGGGTGAAAAGGCGTAGTTGCTGTGACGTGCAAACACCTGCCTATCGTAGTGACTGTGGGTGACTGTGGCCGGTCCTCCGAGGTGAGTGATGAGGCGCTGGAAATCGGTGGGGAAAAGCCACGATTCTTCCTCGTGCTCAACAGCGTATTGCACACAGCGAGTGAGGTCCAGTGCGTCATCGCCGCACGGGTGCTCTTTCACATGGAGGGCAAGATCTTTGAACTCCAACGGCGACGAGTCCCAGTTGACCTTGTCCTGTCTAGGTGTACCAGTCCTCACGTCCTTAGGGTGAGTCCGGTTAGGTGTACGGAAACCGTGGACGTTGAGGTTGTCTTCAGGTCTCGGAATTCCAATGTTATATTCCAAATGCATACCGAATTTCCAATCGTCGTAGCCGGCGCGTCGCATGGCGTACTGGATCATGACCATGGCGGAATTCGGTGGAAAATCCTGATCCAGCGGCTGGTCTCTGAACTCGTTGATCATAGCAGCGAGATGGCCAGCTTTCGCGCCGTGCGTCACGAAACGGTCGATAACATCGATGGATTTGAGCCAGTGCGGGAGGTAGGCCAGGATCTCGGCGGCGGTCAGATTGCCGTTTGGGAAGGGGAGGTTCCAGCTTGGGCTGTGATAGCCGAAAGCGTTGTTCTTAGCAATGGCCGCCATGTTGACTGATCTGATGGTCAGGACGAGATCAGCAAAGGCAGGCAAACTTGGAAGGTTACCTTGTGCAGAAACTGCGAGGGGTGGCCGGATGCGCGGAGGATGGCTTACTGGAAAGTGAAACTGTGAGCGTCTTCAAGGACGATACGAAGTTTCGCTGCGCTTTGTCTTGAGTGATCGATGCGTGGTGTCTCCACTGGCTGCGAAAGCAGACCCTGCAAACCTTGTCGTGGGCTGACGCTGGCACTTCGGAGACGCAGGTGACGGCGGAGTCAAGCAAAGTTGCTCAAAGGACGCTCGGACCGGGTAGAGTGGCCTTTTCGTTGATATAGCGACAGCCACAACAGAAGCGCGAGGCACACTCTACTAACCACGTGCAGGTTCCCATCACCACCACAAACACCATACATGCACCTCTGACCATGGACCATCCGCCGCGACCGTACTAACTGCCAATTGTCTCACGATAGGCACACTCTCCTAACTTTTCGGCAGGTCAACGGCGTCAGTCCCAGGACCGGCTGAGAACGCATCAGAGTCCAAATCGAGCGTACGTAACGAGTACTTCGGCTACGGCTTTGGCCCAGAAGCGCCTTCAAGATACCTCCCGTTTCCTGCAACCGCGAACATTACCGCCGTAGAGCTCCTCGCATTCCTTCCAAACAGCATACACTGCGCTGACGTGGTGTACCGCCTGATCACGAACGGCGCGACTCCGACTCAGGTGTGCGCCATTGTGAACACTTACAGAGAGCTTCCAAAGGAGTGGCCCCAGGCCAGCTGCCGGCAGAGCATCTACAAGACGATGGACCAAGGTGGGTACAAAGACTGGCGGCTCCAGACGCATGGTAGCTTCCACAAAGAGAGAAAGTCGACCTGGGACGATGCCGATCTCAACGTTGCAGGGTTCTCGCCACCTAGTGGAAATGTCGAAATCCCTCCGACAGAGATACCCTTCAAGAAGCTAGCCATAGACCTGAGCTGCATGCCGCAGGGCCATGATGCGCTAGATCTGACTCGCATGGTGGAGTATTGCGTGCAGAATCCACATGAGCCGTGGTTCTACCCTCGCGACTACGACAAGGTATTGCAGCTGGTGGGAGGCGCAGCTACTGTTCGAAAAGAGCATAGCGATGGCGCTGCTTCCCAACGATGGGCTGGTATAAAGCCTTCTCTTTCTCAAGACGCGTCAACCAGCGCTCCGCTCGTGCCAGTCAAGAAAAAGAAAGACGCTAAGCGAAAGAGAAAGAGTGACATAGAAGAAGACTTGCCAGTATCAAGGAGACAGAAAGAAGCAGTCCCTCCACCCAAGGGCGGGACACCAGAGTCAGAAACAGAGCATGACATGCAAGCGCTGAGAGGAAGGCCGGGAAAGTCTGTATGGTTTGATGATGAGCCTGTCGTTGAAGGATTTGCCGAAGAGGAAGAAGAAGAGGTGGAGGAAGAGGACGTCATGGCCAGCGCCAGCAGAGACCTTGAGAGAACAAGTTATGCCGCGCCTCCAGAAGATTCAGTCGTGCCATGGGAGACAGCGCTTGCAAACGCACAAGATGAGGACGCGATGGACATGGCGTTCTTTTTCGAACGTCAAGCAGGAGAGACTGATGCATACGGCCCATACGCCTTCGGTGGACCCCGTCACAAGCCGCCTTACCGACCGCTGTACCGCATCGACCAACCAGACCCATCTGATGCAAGCGGTTGGGCGGAGAATCTGAGGTGGGCATTCGAACAGAACACGCTTTACCGATACCCTCACCGCCCCGACGCTTGGAACGAAAGCCCAGAGCACATGGAGCTCATCGTGAAGATTCGGATCGACCGGTACTGGATGTCGGATGAGTTCGCGGCGATGATTGACGATTAGCTGCGGAGGGCGATGATTGCGTTGAAGTTGGAGATGATTGGATTGTTGGGATTTGGGGATTTTGGTCGTTCGCTGCTGGATGATAATAATCGTGTTATGTCACGGTGCCCACATCCTGCCAAACAGCAGCAGCGCACGCAGGCGAGAGATTTGCGGCATTCAACGGTAGCCGATGAGTAAAAAGATCCGAAAGGTCACATGTAAAGTAAAGGCAAACGCTGTTCGATGGATTCACTGTCGGTAATGCTGTGAGTGATGAAGGAACGAAGAGGTGAGGTTGTGGCACCTGCAAACCTCAGCCTTGGCGTTTCGGCAATGCACGGACTGGCGTCGATCGATGTTCCGACCGAAACCAACTTCGAACACCCTCCAAACTTCATCACCCCGAAATCGACAGCCATTGTCCCTGTATTCGCGTGTTTCACGAGAATTTGTCTGGTTCGCGACGCTGCAAGACGCCACAGTGGATCGGAGGCTGAAGATCCGGATGCGCTGACTGTCGCATGAGATGATATACACGATGACAGCTCTTAGGTTGCGAAACAATGGGCGCTCTTCGAGCAAGTGCGTGATGTGTAGAAAGGTATTTAGATGCGAAGTGCCCCCTAGCGATCCGCCGTTCAAAGCTCTCGCTCTCTACAAACCTTCAGAAAACTATACCCCAGATTCACGAGCCGGACTCACCTAATACACTCCTTACGAACCGACACGAACGTACTCGACGACCTCATCCTACTACTACAACTTCGTACAATCATATACCTCACCATGCGTTCCTCCACGATCATCGGTGCCGTCGCGGCCTTCGCTCCCATCGCACTCGCACAGAGCTCCTCCACCATCACATCAATGGTCCCGATGATGTCTCCCTCCGCGCCTCCCGTGACAATGGCCTGGGATAACAAGCCCGCCCCGACAGGCGAAGCAGCGCTTTCTTCTGGCGCTTCATCGCTGAACTCTGCCATGAAGTCTGCGATGTCTTCCATGTCCAAGGGAATGTCGATGGAGAGTGGCATGACCATGTCCGACGGTATGGTCATGCAGAGCGGTATGACCATGTCTGATGGCATGGTCATGCCAACAGGCAGTGCTATGGCAGGAATGAGCAACTTCACCGGTAGCGCAGGCAAGATGGAGGTTGGCAGTGGTGGTGTGGCGATGATGGCAGCCATCTTGGCTATGTTGTGAACGGATTGAATCTACGTTCAAGGCTTGCTGAAGCATGTCATAGAAGCTCAGTTGGTCCAACATAGCATCGTCGTCCCTTTCTAGCCATTCTTCGTTCATGGATACGCTGTCTTCGTCTCATGCGTTACCTCTTTTCGCTAATACACACTGTACATTTACTATATACACCACTGCGTCATATTCTGCACTACAATTCCCGAGAGCCGTCGTTAATGCGTGTGAGGTCTGTCTACTTACCGTCTCCCCAAATTCTACAAAAGACGCGTCATTATTTCAGCTATCGAATGGGCAAGCATGCGATCCAGTTCCTTCAAAAAAGCTAATGCTGTAGTGGTCACCTGGCGGTCCATGGCGTTTGTGATTCAGATTTGTCTTCGTCCACATGATGAGCGATTACCTCCCCTCAAACAATCGTTCGTTTAAATACACGGCCTGCATTTCCCAACAAGTTCCTCAAGTTACCTCGTATCAGGACTGGTTGAGCTCATCTGGCTTATCGACTTCAAAAGATCCATTTCCACTGTACACATCCAAGACATGTCATGCCAATGTCGTGGCACACAACGCGTCTGCAGCCGTTCTCTCTTGGAATACCTGCGTCGCAATAAGCACGTTTCTACCAGCAAGCTGTCGGAATCTGAAGCAAATGAGATGTAAGCACTGTTATCAAATTGTCATTGTATTCCGGCAACTATTGACTCTAAAAGCACAACCCAGAATCAGACTGCCTCTCCGTTGCTACGCCTACCGCGAGAGCTGCGAAACCAGATCTATGGGTACACATTCGCTTGCTACTTCATAGATATACTACATGTGGCTCGAGATCGTCTCCTAATCAGAGTTTTTCATCAGCTTTGTCGCCAGTACCGCTGCTACGAGTCTTTAGACCGGCTCCTTTCCCCCTCTATGGTCTGCCGCCAGGTTTACAACGAAACTGCCTTCTTGCCATTTTCCTTGAACCCACTTCATGTCGGTTTTGGAGAACTCGCAACTATCGAGAACCTCATACCTGCTGGCGTAGTCGCATGTTTCAAGAAATTGTCGGTGTTCAATGATCGCTCGCTGAAGCAGCTCAAGGAATCTGGACACGATGTCAATTTGGAAGCATTGTGCAAATTTCCAGATTGGAAGACCGTTCTTGTGGTAAACATGGAAGGAGAGGTACAACCGGAGAGGACCGAAGAACTTAGGAAGAGAGTGGCGGCATACGCAGTTGCTGCCGGGCATGTTAAGACTTCTTGGCCATAGCATCTAGATAGTACTATAACTTGCGAAAGTTTATCGCGTTAAGACGTCGCTAGTAGCTCCTGAGGTCACTTGGGTTCTGCGTGGCCTAGCGCATAGCAGTCTCGTAGCTTTGCGCTGCTGCTGTATAAAGTCTTGCGAACATAGCACCATCAATTTGAGGTCAAGAATCTGCGTCGACTCTTCCGAAAGTCATTTTGTTGTTTTATGATATCTGTGCACTGCCCAAGTGTCCAGGTGGTGTCGCGAAATCACTTATCGCGATTGATGACGTCACGCGTGACAACTGTCCGTAGACCTCTAACTCCCTTGGCAGGTACCGCTTCATCACAAACAACGACCTCAATTATCCTCAGGCATTTCTTCTTTGCATACAGGCATCACAGCATTGCCGTTCACAGAGCCTTAGAAGCGCGACACACATCACACCCTCAACATGGCAACGTCAGACGAGAAGTCGCTGCTAGACCGCGTCTTCGCCGCCAAAACCACCGAAGAATCACGCAAATTATACGACGAATGGGCAAAGACATATGACTCCGACATGACTCTGCACGACTTCACCGCGCCACGCCTCGTCGCACAAGCAGTAGCCCGCGGCCTGAAGCTAAACCACATCTCACCCGACAAGCCTCTCGCTGGCCTGAAGATTGCGGATGCAGGATGCGGTACCGGCCTTGTCGGAATTGAGCTGTCCCAACTTGGCGCTACGGATATCTTAGGTCTCGACATCAGCGAAGGCATGCTAGCGGTTGCTAAGAACACCGCCGTGTACGATGACCTTACGACTGCGGATTTGACGAAGAAATTGGAGTTTGAGGACGGAAAGTTCGATGCGCTGACGTGCTGCGGTACGTTCACACATGGTCATCTCGGACCAGAGCCGCTGGAGGAGTTCGTAAGGGTTGTCAAGGATGGTGGGGTTGTAGTCGCAACCGTGCTAGATAGCTTCTGGGTAGAGAAGGGGTTTGAGAAGGAAGTGCAGAGACTGGAAAAGGAGGAGAAGGTTGAGGTTGTGGAGACGGACTTGCATCAGTACCGGAAAGATGCTGGAGGTGGGCGCGTGATTATCTTACGGAAGCTGTGAACTTGAAGCGTATGGCGAAGGTGCATATATCATAGCAAGTGCAATGGTACAAGAAATGCGCTTTCTAAAACTATACACCTGCGCAAAGTGCGGTATCGTAGTAGAAGTCCCTGGTGGACTACACTCACAACTTACGCAACATCGACGACCTAGACGAAAAGATATCCGAACAAATCAGAGAAGCCTTGAGTACTACATGATGGACTACAAGATTCCCGCATACCTCGCCTAATCCTACATAATCTCCCACTTTCCCTCCATGACGTGTTTGTAGCGGGGAGTCGGAGCATCAATTGACGTAATCTCAACTCCTTCCCCAACCCGACTGCTGACATATTTTTGAACATTCATAAGTGCATTCTCAGTATCCTTCGACTTGAGATCTCTGAAAAATTTCTCAACTCTCAAACGCGAAACCTCGTTGTCCTCTGGAACATGACGTCTATTCCATTCATGGGCAAACAAGAGCGGATCTCCCACGACCTTAGGAGCCCAAGAATGCACTTCGACCTTTCGCAGGTTAGGAAGATCTGTTGGGAGGTAAAAGTCTCGGTAATAGATCGTCCAGTTTTCGATTTCGTAGATGCGAAGGACTGAAATGGCGTCTCGCACGTCCCTGGGCATTTTTTCCACGGCGTCAAGTAGATGTTCCGGACGTCCACAGAGAGGACTCAGCTTGAATACCAACAATCTGGTCTCCGCATAGTATTGGCGGCATACTAGTAGGTATCTAAGAAGCGAGGATAGGGATTGTGAAGCTGACTTTGTCCCGCGCATGGGATTGGGGTTGTAATCAGGCCTCGAGTGGTTGCTCGTGTTGTAATCCCAGGCGTGCATTCCATAGAAACTGATACAGTCCACGCGGAAGACGTGTTCGTAGATCCTATTGCGAAGTTCTGCGGGCAGGCGTAGTAGGGGCGATTCAATCTGGTTATGCAATGTGCTACGCTGATGTTAGTGCTGTTTCGAGCTAGATTCGAGAGGTATTATGACTACTTACACAGCGTCCATTTTGTCAAAGAGATCTCTTGGGCGCGAAGTTTCGGTGTGCAACGATTGACCGTACTTTGATAATGTTGTCGTAGAGAAGAGGGGTTGCTGACATGGGTCTACATGTCACGACGGTACGGCGTAGCCCGCTTGTCCTATCTGAGCCTAGTGCCATTGCTGCCTTCCACCTGCAGATCTCCTTTCAAGGCCACCTCATCTAATCGTACAATACTTTTACAAGATACATGATACATCAGTCTATGACAACCATTCCACGCAGATAGCCGGCATATCCGAACGGCGTCGGTCGCGTGAATTGTGAGACAGCAAGTCCTAGCCCCAGTCCCGCGCCCGCCACGCTCGTCTCTTGGATCGACGCGCTCGCATCGCGCCAACGTTCAGTTCCAACAAAGCATTCGCCGTCCCAGTCGTATTCGTATCGCTCAGACACATCATGCTCTGGAAAACATTCTGACACATGCCCGCATACACGCGCAAAGAAATCGGCGAGGTCTTCGCTCCTTCCTTCGTTGAAGTACAGTCGCCCACCAATGATTGGCCAGGCGGCTGAGAACCGAGCTTTGGATATTGAACCACAAGCCAGCCATTCTGAAGGGCGAATGTATACGGGGTCGACACCGAGGGTTGGTCCAAGATCAGCCATGCATAGCCACCGGTCTATCCAACCTTTTGTGCCTTGCCATGAAGGTATCAGAGCACTGTGATTGCCGGCTGGGCTTACGAGATCGGTCACCAGGCCTGAAGCCTGGATCTGAACTACCTGGATAGCTTCATGACCTCGGACATAGAGATCAAACGCTTCACGTAACGCCGCAGCTGTTATCAGTCAGTACGCAAGTCATACGGTAATACGATAAGAATTACCGAAGTCGCTGAAGACCGTTATGAAAGGACTAGCTTGTGAGTCGCGAAGACGAAGGTGTTCTTCTATGCAATCCAGACTCAGATGAGCATACGAAAAGTCACACCTGGACTGGAACAGACATGGGCCGAATGAGGATCTTGGTTGGTAAGATGTTGCACTGTGCTCACTGAAGACGCGATAGAAGAAAGGGCCCTTAAAGTCGTCGATGTGCTCGTCTTGAAGCAAGTCGCTGCTGATTGGTCGGTCAAAATCTAGCCGCATCATCGATCGCCATTCACGTACCTCAACATTGTTCCATCACAATCCATCTCAGAAAGTTACACCATCTTCCGTCATCTCCATTTTCGAGCAGCACAGTCCCTTGCGAATGTACTGAAGTTGTCGCATGGCATCCCGTGATGTAGGGAAGTCTTCGGCTCGGCTGGTCCGTGATGGCGCAAAGCTCGCACCACCGCGATGCAGCATTTTTGCCGCCCATCGACCTCATGTCAGCATTCATTAACTTCGTCTTCGAACGAACATTTTCAGTTTATGACGTGCGTATGGATCAATTGTATCTGATCATGTGAAATCGACGTCGGCCGGGATGGCATTCTTCGTACTCACCGTTCTTTCCAGATGGGGCAGCCGTGGCAGATTCTTCTGGCCACTTGATGTGCCTACGACCTTCCAGACGCACAAACAAGACCCTTTCAAAGCGATTCCAACTCACGCGGAAGTGAATAGTACTTTCTTTATCGGCCGCTGAGTCACCATTGACCCTGGTGAATGCTCGAGGCTTGTCCACATCCCAGCTACCGGCTTAGTGAACGCGTTCCCTTCCTGCTCAAATATTGGCTTGCCAAAGGGCTCCAGTTCCCTAATCCATAACTCTACAACTTCAAGAGCGGAAGGTATTTACACCCGATGGAAACCGCCCGCGAATCGAATAGTCAACCACCAGAAGAAGCAGTAGCGACTTCGCAACATGTCTCCGAAGCTGTTCACTCTTCGCCTCAAGTCTGTGATACTCAGACAGACGCACAGATGCATGCAGCATCTGCAGACAGTCAAGCTCGCCTGGAGAGTGGGGAAGATGCAAGTGCGACTAGTGTTCGATCAAATCTACCTACGATTACACTAAGTATGCCTTCCCCGCCGCCACTGTATGATCAGCTGTTTCCACCGCAGGCACCTACGCAGCGAATGCCAGCCAGCCAAGCTTCCCCAGAGGCCGCATCACCAACAGGTGATCAACGTCCGCAGGAGTCGCCCCAAGCTCATCATCCAACGCCAGGCACTCCCCCTCAATGTCCAACACCCACGGCCACGCCCGTCAACCATCCACCAGTTCAAATCGTCCCCCGACCACAGGAAGACATTGATGAAATTTTCGAAGCTATAGAAACCAACAACTTCGACAGCCCCATCTTCGGGGAGGCAGGTGCGGTATACCACGACAAACTAACACGTCGGCTCATGCCTAGTACACCAATGTTTCAGCATTACAACATCATTCCTGAAGTACCACACCCAAGGACTGTAGCTGCTCCGAACGATAGACTGCAAACACCTGATACGCCGACACCTAAGCCCAAGGCTAAGCGCAAGCCTAGGAAGAGGAAGCGCGACCAGACGCCACAGGAGCCGGTTGACCAAGAGGGGGTAGTGGTCAAGGAGGAGCCGGTAGAGAAGAAGCTGAAGGGTGTGAAGGTCGAAGACGCTGCGTAGAGGCCATCCCGTCTTAGGTATTTGATGTCTTCTAAATGGAAAGAACCTAGTATATGCTCTGCAAGGGCATGGAATATCTCATAAGTGAAAAGAAGACTCTCTGGCGCAATGGTAGCGCATCACGCTTCGATTCAAGCGTCGCCTACATCGGAACGGACGCGTTCGGGATGGAAGGCCCGCTTGAACCGTGAAGGTTATGAGTTCGACTCTCATGGGAGTTAAAGGCCAATATTTTTGTGCGTCAAGTGTCACTAGCATGTAGTACATGTCTCCAATGTCTTCTTCAAGCTTTTCACAAGATCTTCTATCACTTCGTGCACATCACCTCACCCATCATCCCCTCTCCACAATCTACCACTCCCTCAAATCCTCCCCCGTAAGATTCGGCCTAACATCCCCTCCCTCCAACCACACCTTACACTTGCCATACAACACATCCCTCTCCTTCCCATGCGCATTCAAATCCATCTTCGGCGGCCTCCCCGCCTTACTCTCCGCCCAATCCAGATACCGATACCCGCTCGGATACTGCTTGACCTCTTCCTCAGGTACATTGAACGCCTTGCCCGGCATCACAGGCACCATCTTATCCTTATCAAACAGCAACGTCATGAAATTGACCCCCCATTTCCCAGCGTCGTTCCTGGATAAGAAAAAGAAGAAGCGGGTGTCGGCTTCATTATCCATTTCAATCCCGTCAAGCATGATGCGACATGTAATCGTAACTTTCATTTTACTTATCGCCCGGTCGCCTTGTACATCAACTGTCTGGCCACAAATCCTATGCAGAATGTACGGAAACGGGCCATGAGGCGTCTGTTTCTCAAACCCTTCTTTCGAGGACGCGATGAAATCGTCTAGGCGGCCTTGCGTCCATGATGTGGTTATGTAGGCGCCGGGGTGGAACATGGAAGAGTAGTTTTGCCACTCGGCGGCATCGCGGTACATGCCCCATCCTTCGCAGATTTCGCGGATCTTGAGGCGGTCGAGGACGGAGGCGTCGGTGCCGGAGGTGTTGTTGCGGGTGGCGTTTTGGGGGTAGGTGGATGAGGGGGGTTGGACGGTGGTGTATTCGAGGCTTGGATGTGGCATTTTGGCGGTGATTTGGATGTTTGGGATGTGTTTACGGGATTTTTGGTATGTTTCGGGCGTGTTAGTTGTAGGGTTGATGTATACCTAGGTATGTCGCTGTGATGTGTGCAGTGGTAACGGTTACGTCATTGAACGACTGCCCAACGTGAGGATTCTAATAGTCATAAAGACACACGTTCTTTTATAAATCGTGCCAGGCCCCTACTAGCCACCCAGGTTTTGACTTCAGGAAGGTGTTGAACTCCGTCGTACATCATTCCTGAGTCTTCCAAAGTTGGTATTAAGATGTGTCCAGGGCTGCCGAGTCTTGCGACTCACAACG